TTATAAGAGACTTGTCAAGGTTTGATTGGGCACAGAGTGTTGGGTTCTGGTAGCAGGAACTCTTTGCAGGACTTCTGAGTCTTAAGCAGAGTCCTGTAAAGGTAGAAGGGAGGACAAGCCCTCTGACTCTGGTGGTGACAGAGATGCTCTAGTGACTATTTCAGAAATCTTCCAGGAGCTACGTGGCTCCTTTCTACTCCAAGTTTTTCATCTTCCCCACTGACAGAGCAGGTCTCAAACAGCCTTTAGAGAAAACTCATCTTAATGCTTAAAGTACCCAGTCTGCTTCTCCACTCTGCAACCAGGGAACCCTAACTGAGTCACATGGAATACTTTTTATATTCCAAAACAAATACAACAAGCAAACTGAAAAATCCCAGGATATGAAACTCTACTAACAGTTATACAAACCACAACAAGAACAAAAATCTATTTATGCACATTCACTGTATATAAACACAGACAGAACAAAGGCTGAAGATATAGGCACATTTTGTTTTGGTTGTTTGTTTGAAGCAGGGCATCTCTGTGTAGCTTTAGAGCCTGTCCTGGAACTCTCTCTCTGTAGACCAGGTTAGCTTTGAACTCAGAGATCTGCCTGCTTCTGCCTCCCGAATGCTGGGACTAAAGGTGTGCGCCACCACCACCCGGCTTTGACAAACATTTTATTTGACCAACTTTAACCCAAACTCCTTTGTATAACATTGGAGACTATTTGACAAGCTCAGCTACTCAAGAATGTAGGAGGGTGTCTTGAATCCAGAAATTCCAGGCCAGCCTAACCAATATAAAGACTGCCCTGCTAGATAAACAAAGCAAACAAACAAATAAATCAAGATAATTTAAACAAGCAATCGGTACAAAAGAAGTTCCCTGAAAGTTCATGATCAATCAGGCCAGAGAGATGAGTTAGCAAGGATAAAAGCTCTTGCTGAACAAGTCTGAAGACCGGAGTTTGATTCCTGTAACCAAGTAGTGAAAGACAAAACTGATTTGCACAGTTGTCCTCTCATCTCCACACAAGTCCCAGCAAACTGTCTAATAAATAAGGCCCAGTACACACTCTTGGTGGCCATTGCAGCTTCCTTCCTCCCTGGAAGTTGCCAATTGCTCAACTTCTGGCCTTAAGCATTCAGCTTTTGACCATACTTGAGCACATACTTGACCATACTAGAGCTTGTGGCAGGACATGTCATCACCCCTCACTTACAACCTATAAAGTCTCTGTGCTTTAGTTTGGGGTCAAGGATTCTCCCAGTCTCCATCTCTGGGACTGGAGAACTCACCCCAGAGTTCCTTTGCTCAAATTAAACCTGTTGTTATACTTTTTCATTTTGGCTTGATCTGGTTTACTATGTTGGTGGAGAAATTTATTGGGGGTTGGGGGGGATTCAGAAACAACAGAAAATTTATTAGTCTGGAATCCTGGATTCAATCCTAAAACCTAGTGTTCTAATCTTAAAATGTAGGAGTTGAAGCAAGAAAATCAGAAGTTCAAGATCAGCTTTGGTTACACAACAAGGTCAAAGTCAGACTGGGCTTTAAAAAAAAAAGAGAGACATTTTAATATATGAAATCTTTCAAAGATAATCTGATGATAACCAAAGTATAAAATTATAAATCTAATTATACTAGGTGGTTTTTTTTTTTTGACTCTTTACATCTGAAGCCAGTGACTATGTCATATAACAGTGACCAACAACATCTTTCTGAAGCAATATAATTATTGTTTTGAGATACATAAAGTTATCTGTAATTATCCCAAGGTATGGCACTAGAAAATTTCAAAATTAGCAATTTAACTTTTAAAATATGATTGCACATTGGGGCTGGGAGCACACATTTATGGTAGAGTGGGTATTCAGTTTATGCCAAGCTCTGCATTTGATACCCCACATTGAAAAAAGAAAGTATGCATATTCCAATGGCATTCCACTTGATGTAGGAGAATGCTCAACCTAGAAGGACCTAAACAAACAAGCCAGAAATGACAATTCAAAGACTGTAAGTCAACATCTTAAACAATCATTCAACTGCTTCTACCCAAACTGCTTCTACTCTTTGGGCAGAAAGTTATTCCACATAGCCATAGCAAGACCACATAAGTACTTAGGGCACTCGATAGCTTAGAGCCCAGGGTATATTATTTAACCTTAATATACAGACCTGCTAAGAATTTGAAAACAACTCTTTGACATGACAGTTGAATAATTTAAAATAATAATGATGATGATGATGATGATGATAATAATAATAATAATAATAATAATAATAAACACAGCAGCAAGCACAACAATAAAACATGGCCAGTTGTGGTGACACACACTGGGAGAATAGCTGAACAGGAAGTGGTAGGAGGATCACAAGTTCAAGTCCAGCCCAGGAGACACACACACACATGCACACACATGAAAACATCTGGATACTGTAGCACATGCCTTTAATTCCAAGGATTTAGGAGGCTTAAGGCTAAATGATTACAAGTTTGAGACTACTTTGGGCTACACAGTGAGATCCTGTTTCAAAATAACCAAAAACAAAAACAACAAACAAAGCTACTTCTCATACATATATTATGAATACTACTTCCCCCAACAGAAAGCAAGAGTAAAATGAATTATTCTTACAAAAGCATAAAATAGATAATTTAGGGGAAGAACAGCAAAATCAGGATGCATAATTTCAACTGACACTTTTTTTTTCTTCTTTTGAGACAGGATTTCTCTGTGTAGCCCTGATTGTCCTGGAACTCACTCTGTAGACCAAGATAGCCTCAGACTCAAAGTGATATGCCTGCCTTAATCCCAGGGCTTCAACTAAAGTACATCACCACTGCCTGGCTTCACGTGAAATTTTAATGAAAGAAAAATAGGCAATAAATCAATGAAAATGTTTCTTTTGTAGAACAGATATATATCACCTCTGCCTATGGTCATGCTTTATCACAGGGCTCAGAAAACTGGTCTGTGAGCCAAATCAATGTAACTGTCTGTTCGTATGACAACAGCTTTATGGGACAAAGCTCTGTCCCTCCATTTACTTATGGTCTATGGCTTCTTTCACACCACCATGGTTGTACTGAGCAGCTATGACAGAGACTGTACATAATACATAAGATATCTGTCACCTTATTTAAAAAATGCTTGCTAGCCCTACTGATTTAATATCACTTACTCAAGTACTGTCTGACTTCTGCACTGGAACCAACAATTTGTGAAGAAAGTGATTTTGTTCCTACATTCTTATAAGCTAGAAAAGCATACAACCCACAAAATGAACTTAACTAATGGCATCAGATATGAGAAAGAAAAAGTAACAAGGATTTTTCTTCTTCCTATTGCACCCTGTCCACCAATCCACCAAAACTGTTCTTCTCAGTTAACCATTGGATTTATTATTTTAATGAAACCCAGTAATTAGTTCTCAGTCCTCACCTTACTTGACCTCCTGGCAGTAGATGACCCACTTGGACAACACACTTCTTCCCGAAATACTTTCTGCAAACAGCTGGCAGAGCACCTTTTCAGTTTCCTCCCACCCCACTAATTCTCAAGTCTTCTGTATACCCAAAAACCCATATCCCCTACCTTTTAACGTCAGCCTGTTCTTCCACTCATTCACTGTCATTTTTCTTAGTCCATGTTCACTTCCTTGGTGAGTTAATAATTTAATGTCATGCTACTCTCATGAACTTCAGATTTAACTAGTTCAAAACTATAACCAAGTTTGTCTTTTTCCCCCAAACCCATGCCTTCACAACCATCGTCAGCTCACTCAGGAGGAAGACCATCATGTCAAGCCAAAAATCTGTCAGAGACAACCAACCCTAACCTACACCCAACCTATCACTAAACTCTGGTGGCTCTTATAAATACATTTCAGGTAAATGATTACTTACCACTTCTTCTATTACCCTTGTCTAAACTGCAACCATTTCTTGCCTGACTATTGTGCCTTCAGTACTCTACTCCCTACAGAGAAGCCTGGAAGATCAGGTTTGAAATGTAAATTAGTAAGTTCAACAGCTGACTCTTTCCTACACAAAGTCATGAACAATTTGATCCCCATTTGCATTTCCACTCCAGTCCACACAGGTCTGTGACCACCTGAACACATGTCAAACAAACTTCCACCCCAGTTCTTTCAGAGTAGAGTGCGTGGAAGGCTCTTCTTGTTGATTTGAATGAGGCTTCTTGAATAAGACACTTCATGTAATATTCCCACACCTAATTCTCAAGAGTCTAGGAGAAAACTATCATTTCTTCTGCTTTGCAGATTACAAATGAGAGATTTGACAGTAAATGACAGAACTGGAATTAAAAAACTCATGAGTGGTTCCTGAATTAATTTTGGGGCTTGAACCTTCAGTCATGGTCCATAGTGATTCTAAAAGGCTAAAGGTAAAAAAAAATGTTGGTTGGAAGTTAAGGAAGGACTTAAGAACCAAAATAGGAACGTTACTCGTGCCAAGAATGTAAAGTTGCAAGGAAAAAGGAAGTGTGTCAAATGGAAGGAACTCAGACCAAGAATCGAGTACTTAACTCATAGTCACTACACATGTAGTGGAAGACACCGATCTTGATTTTAAACATCAACAAAAACACCCTACTTTTTCCTGGCAATAAAGTTGATCAGCGATAACCTTCCATCTATTGTCATTTGCCTGTGGTAAGGAGTGACAACAGACTGTCAGTAGGTTTAAACACCCCAGCTTCACACCTAGTTTCTCCTCATGACCAGCTAAACGAAGTTTGTGTGCAGTGAGGGTAGGGTAGAGGGATGGTGAATAGCAACTGTCTTCTTATCCCCTCTGAACATTTGTGAGAGCTAGTCCAGACCAGCTCTGGGAGAGAGCGGCAGGGGCAAGGGCAGGGAGGGTGGGTGTTGGCCTCACCCTCACTCTTGAAGCAACTTTCTGTTTATGCCCCCACATTTCCATCGTACCCATCTCCCGGCCCCATACCAGACTTGACTTCGAAAAACCCCAAACCCCTCCTCACCACCGCTCCGGCCACAGCGTGTACCAGGCTTTCGTATGACAACACAGAGGCCATAGCGCCACACTTTGCCCTCAGCCGCAGGACTCCTGAAAGGAGCGTCTCAAGCCCCACCTCTCAGACGCGCCCGCATCCACCACAACAAGCATTTCCGGGTCACAAGTGCCCTCTGTCGCCAGGGAAAAGAGCCGCGGATATAGGACCCAGGAACGTCTCTGAACACCGATTGGTCCGGGGAGAGCAAGGGGTGGGACGATGATAGGCGGATATGGACAACCGCTTACGAGGGTTACTGGCTCCTCAGTCTGTTTGCTAGTTTAACACGGTTAGTCATGGCTATTAACAGAAAAGCCCCTAATGACCTCCGCACCCCAATTCCTTACAAAATAAGTTGACAGGATGAGAACGTAGCTCAAATGTAAGAGTTCTTGCTTAGCACTCCATAGACACCTGTAATCCCAGCACTCAGCAAGTGGAAAGAGGATCAAAGGGACTGGAGGGCTGCCCCCGTTGAGAACTCTACCGCTCTTAGCGGGGTGGTGGCCCATGCCTTTAATCCCAACACTCGGGAGGCAGAGGCAGGCGAATCTCTGTGAATTCGAGGCCAGCCTGGTCTACAAAGCTACAAACCCTGACTCGGAAAAAAGAAAACCCTCTACTGCTCTTGCAGTGGAACTCTTACTACAGAAGAGCCGTCTTTAGTCCCAGCATCTACATGGTGGCAACTAACTACAGTTCCAGGGGGAACTGAGACATACATATTATTTAGTTAAAAGAATCATTAGTTGAGTCACCTTTGGCTACATATAAGGCTTGAGATCCTGCGTCTCAAATCTGACCGCACAACCACCCCTGCCTCAATGCGTCCTAGTGATCTTCCTATGTTACCCCAGTACCGTGGAGGTGAATTATGCCAGCCTAAACTCCAGAAACCATGTCACAATAAAAACATCCCTCCAAGATAAACTGATGGCCACAGATAAAATTGGGACAGGTCAGTAACTCTATCCTTTATATGTTCATCCAGCCATCTCCAACTCTGACACTAGATATGGAATCAGAGAACTGAGGCATAGTAGACAATCACTCTAGCAAGAGGTTTTGGGTTGCACGAAATGACAATTTGAGGTTGGATATATAGATGGCTCAGCAGCTAAAATTGTATGATGCTCTTGCAAAGGATCAGCACAACCCTCCGTAATCCAGTTCCAGGAGAATCCAGTCTTGTACTCAGAAGGTATCAGATGCACTTACATAAACGCAAGCACTCATGCACATAAAAATTTAAAAGAAAAATCAGTATTTTACATTTCCATTGTGACAATACGAAGTCTCAAAGGATTGTTCAAACTTTCAAGACTTGCTAATTTGTATTTGTTTTCCCCTTCAATCCAAGCCATATCTGTGTTTGTGCACATTAGTGCAGTACATTTGGAAGCCAAGAGGGCTACAACCATCTGGACCTGGAGTCACTTAGGTCCTATGCAAAATGTGCTCTTAACATTGAGCCATCTCTCCAGCATCTACCATAGCCTTATTAGTTGCACATACTGCTGGTTAGAATTATGCCTTAAGCTTTAAAAAGACAAAAATCTTCAATTATACTGCCCTTTACTATTCAGAGAATAGTCATGTTGTATTCCACACACACAATAACTGGATATTCTTTTATTTTACCACTCATTCAAATGCCCATTTTAGCTTTTAACTTCTTCAAACACACACACCCTACTCACCCTCAGACAGGGTTTCTCTGTGTAGCCTTTGCTGTCCTGTAATTCAGTGTAGAAAAGCTAGCCTAGAACTCAGATCCAACTGCTTCGGCCTCCTGACTACTGTGTTTAAAGGTGTGTGCCACTACCACCCAGCAACCTATTTCTTAAAGCAGCAGCCAGGCATGCTGACATAACTAATGTCCTAATATCAGTAGCTGGAAAGCTGAGACAAAGATAAGAATTCAGGCAACAGCCTGGGTTACATAGCAAAACACCGAGTAAACACCATTAAAAAACAAAACAAAACAAAAACAAAACCACAACAGCCAGGCACAGTGGTGCATGCCTTTTATCTCAACACCTGAGGAAGGCTTTGTGGACAGCCTGGCCTACACAGTGAGTTTCAGTTTCAAACCAAAGTTGCATAGTGAAATTCTGTCTCAAAAATGATTTGCTTAAGTGCACACATGGGCCCACAAACACAAGTGTGTGTAATAAGAGTAAGGGAATAAAGAGCTGGGAAGCCAGGGTCTGTGAAAATCCTTGCTCCACAAATGTTAGACTGAGCAACTACCAAAGTGCTTCAGTTTCTTCATCTATAAAATTGCAAAGCAACGAAGGTACTTTTTTCTTGGACTATTAGGATTTACCAAGGAACTTATTACAACATAGTGCCTGGAAACAAGTTCTACTGGTGTGATTTGTTTAACTCGGGTTCATTAACCTTAGGTGTGTGCCAATTTCTAAAACAGAACTCATTTCTCCTTTATGAAGCTGTCTCCACTGGAATTTGAAAACATAGCTATTAATACCATGTATTATTAACATCTCCACATTTGTGTCCCTGACCGTACCTACTTCTCCGGACCTACATGTAAGTTACTTACTTCAATATATGGCAGAAGTGCTAACTTCTAGAGAGCTACCAAAAGAGAGTAAACCTCTGAATTAATTTAGGTGAGTGTGAGTGGGGGGGGGGGGGGTTCTCAGGTTATCAAGTCTACATTGGCCTCAAACTCCAACTCCTCCCTCATCGCCTCAAGTAATGGGACACATGTGAACCAGCATACTCAAGTATTATGTGTCTCTATTAACATTTAGTAATCCACAGCGCACTGTACCCATCACATAACTTCAACCATGCTAAGAAATTGGGAAAGGGAGGAGATGGGAGAGAGAGGGAACAAGAGTTTCTAATTTAAATTAAGAGAAAAAGAAAATCTAAAAAGAAAAAAAATTGGGGAAGGTCAAGATTCAGTTTGAAACCATATTTTATTTTAACATTTTAGGATATTAACAATTTATCTTTAAGCAGAAAACCCTTTTATTTCCTTATAGCATTTTCCTTATAGTATCTTCAGTGGAAAAAAAAATATTTCTGGTGTAGAAATGATACTGAGTCTTTATGAAAAAATGAAGACTTGTGGGTTTGTTTTTGTTTTGTATCTGTGGAACTCAGAAGTCTAAAAGCAAAGAATACAGTTTTCAGAAGAGCAATTTCACCTCATTTATGATAATATTTGCAATATTAGAATATAATTAGGTCATATATAGCCAGAATCCAAGAGAAGCTGATCTTCAGTAATAATGCACAGCACACCATGTAAACTATGAAAGGAGAACACACTTGAACAAAAAGAACACCGTGCAAAGCTCAAATTTAAGAATATGTGATAATTGTCAAGGACTTTAAACGCATGCTATGCTCAAATACAGCTTTTTCGTACAGGTAACAAGATGCATCAGTGTCTGCTGTATGAAACAGCTAAAACCTGTATGAACATATGATTTCAGATATGTGCTTATTTAAATATGCACTCTGGATTTATCGTTTTCTTTATCCTTGGAGCAGGAGCGAAAATAGGCATTAAATACATCCTAAGTATTTAAGAGCTAAATAGGACAAATGAATCTTTCATCATATGTAAACAATTAAACTCTTCAAAATACAAAGATGTATACTTCAACATGAACTCTAAAATCGTAATTGTTTCTCAATTTCATAAGCAACCTAAATAAAACCAAAGGGAATCCTTCTTTCCAATGACTTCTGATATGATAGGAGTTCACAAGTGTAAAAGTTTAGTATTTAAACAAGCAACCCCATGGCCAAGTAAGATACCACAGCTGTTACAGGTATGGCCCTACAATTACCCTATGTGCTATGTATGAAATTAAGCTAGCAATAAATATGCTTCCACAATTATGCTGTGAGTGAGAGAAGTGAGGATGTTAGTGAAAAATCACTGTGTTTAGTTCAAGAAAATTAAGAGAACAAGCAGACAAGTATTTCTAATAGGAAAGGTAATTTTTGACAAACATAGAAAGCATTTTTTCCTCTATATAGGAATAGCATGGAACATTTACTTCAGTGGAGAATGGCAGAACTATTGTAAATCCACTGTTAACACTTATTAAATGATAAAAATAAAAATCGCCCTTGCAGTACAGTGTAAGATTTAAATGCAGCTTGCACAAGGTCAAACAAAACCTAGGACTTGCTGCTCTGTCCAACACTTCAGTCCCACCCAGGTCAGATCCAAATACGGTGGTCCCATGAGATTCACTGAAATAGATCATTTTGAAATAAAACACTAAATAAAGACAAATCAAGATGCTTCAGTAACTGTATGTCCAACTCAACTTAAATGGGTTTTATTTGCTTCCCACTAACAAATCTTTATTTCCATTCATGAGAGCAGTTAAGTCGACCATATTCAGCTTCCTTGCCCAGTTATTCAAAGGAAAAACCCAAAAAGATTAGTAAAGAAAAATGTAGAAATTAACACCCCCTAAATTTTTAAAAAATATGTGTAAGGTTGAAAACTGTTTTAAGTTTGTAATTCCTAATAGGAAAACATTATCTGAATGAAGACCCTAATGGCAAACCACTGTAAAATGCTTCAGCTGCATTTGATGCAGAAAGGGATTATCTTGGAAGCACCCCAGCTCTCCAGATGAGGTCAGAGGTACACTGGTTTGTATTATTGCAACATCCAGTAAGTGAGCTAAGCTGTTCTTCATTCAGCATTGTTATGACATTACGCTTGACCTCCAAACTTGGCTGACAATTTACTGATGAGATTCATAACCTTTGGGTTACTCTGATATTTTGACATATTTGCTGGGTTCTGGGCCACATCCTGGAAAGCCACCATGACTTCTGGATCCTGAAGAAAAAGAAAAGAACGAGGTAAGGTACACTGAATGTTTTAGCTATGTATGGTGTTTTCTAGCTATCCTTGAACTCACAGAGATCTGCCTGCCTCTGCCTACTGAGTGCTGGCATTAAAAGTATGAGCCAGCACCAAACAGCAAGATAAATAAATCTTTAAAAATGCCAAGCTTTGATGACCGATGCCCAACTTTGTTCTTCCAAACCTTACCTGCATGGCCGCAAGAACCTCTGGGTCACTGAGGATTTCATTGAGTCCAGGCATTCCTGCCATTCCAGGCATGCCCCCTCCCATGCCAGGCATTCCTCCAGGAAAATTACCAGGCATTCCCCCAGGAAAACCACCTACAAGGACAAGGGCATAATTAGGGACATCAACAGGTTTCTATTGAGCCTCTTCAATACTCAAATGCACAGGTGAGTTAAAAGGATACCCTGGGCAGTCAGCACAGTCTATTCTCAACTCAGCAGGCTATCAAGCATACATTCTAATTTTTCCCAAAAGCAAAGCTGTAAATCAGACTTTTCTCCTTTCTGGACTTGTTTTTCATTACTTGAAAGTGCTCAACAAAACTAATCTTGCCTTAAAAATAAAGAATCAACATGTCCTGCTCCTCCTAAAACATTAATGCCAGGTATGCTATTGTTTTTCTTTTTTTTTGGGGGGGGGTTTGGGGTGATGGGAAAGGGATGAGATTTGATACAGAGAACTTGTCCTTGAACTTGCAATGAATGTTATGCACCAACACAGCTGGCCTGAACTCTTGATTTCCTCCCTCTGCATTCTCAATGCTAAGAATGAAGGCAGTCATGATCATGCTGGCTCAATCAATCTTTGAATTTCTCATTCCTGAGAATTATTTGTCTGTTTCAATTTAACTTCTATCACTCTAAGTTTGTTTTTAGTTTTGACACTTAACTAGAACAGTTATGACTCAAGTCTTACCAAAATTAAGGTTAACAAATATTAGTTTCTTTCTCTTTTTTAGTTTATTGAGTGATGAGACAGTCTTGTAGAGCCTGGGCTGGCTTAAAACTTGCTCTGTAGGTGAAGATAGACATCCTGAGCCTACAGACTTCATCTCCTAAAGTCTGTGTCCTAGTTAGGGTTACTATTGCTGTGATGAAACACCATGACCAAAAGCAAGTTGGGGGAAAAAAAGTTTATGTGACTTACATTTTCTACATCACTGTTTATCATTGAAGGAGGTCAGAATAAAAACTCAAACAGGGCAGGAAGATGAAGACAGAAGCCATGGACAGTGCTTCTTACTGGCTTCCTTAGCATGGCTTGCTCAACCTTCCTTTTAGAACCCAGGACCAGCCCAAGGATAGAGACAGCACCACCCACAAAGGGCTGGACCCTCTCCTATCAATTACTAATTAAGAAAATGGCCTGGATCTTACAATGGCATTCTCTCAATTGAGGTTCCCTCCTTTCAGATGACTCTAGCTTGGTGTCAAGTTAACATAAAACTAGCCAGGAGCACCTGAGATGACAGGTGGTAAATTTGTGAGTCCCATTCTAAACTATCAAAATCTCTAAAAATGATAATATACAACTATTAAAAGGGGGAGGGTTGTTCTATTTAGGTGAGGTCTCACCCATATAGCCAAGACTACCCTCAAATTCATAGCAGTCTTTCTAATCCCTTACAGAATTACACGCACATGTCACAACAATTGGCAGAATTTACAAGCACTCCCAGTGATTCTTTCTAGAGTAATCTCTAGCAAAAACAACTTCATTCTTCTAAGCACACTATTAAATTGTAAACCCATAATGTTTTCTATTTCTGTTTTGCAAAGATTCCATTTATGTGAATATGGGTGTGCAGGTATGCATGCCCTGTGAACCCTGATACCAGAAGAGGGCATCAGATTCCTTAGAACTGGAGTCCTGGGTATCTGCTGCCTGGTTTGTTATTTGAATGCATGTCCTCATGACTGCACAGAAAGTGCACTCTTTACCTCTGAAGCAATATCTCTTCAGCTCCTCTATTTCTGTATAATAAAAACCTCTACTGAAGACATACATTCTGAAATGACAATTGTGCCAAAATAGGGTATCCTAAAGAGAAAACTAAGTAATATTAATGTATTCTATAGACATAGAATTGTGACAAGCTGTAAAAATAAGTAAACACAATGAACAGTCCTCTCTATCATGCTGCACAATACATCAAACTATAAGCACTAGTAACCCGAGGAAAAAAAAACTGAGTTTCTCTGCAGTTTGTTCTCATGGGCTTTCAAAGATCAGTTCCTTCACATGAATTACTAGAACAAGGCTTGCTAAATTAGATATCAGCTGTATCTAATATCAGTTCACATTAATAAAGCTTTCTCTGTAACAAAGCAAACCGGTAATCAGATTTATATTTTAAGCTAGAAGTAAGCTACAAGATATAATTTTTCAATCTTAACGTTGATGAACATGTTGCATTTTCTTTTCTTTTCTGGTTTACTTTTTTGAAACACAGTTTCTGTGTGTATCCCTGGCTGTCCTGGAACTTGCTCTGTAGACTAAGCTGGCTTCAAACTCACAAAAATCTGCCAGCCTCTGCCACCACTACCTGGATAAGTTATATTTTCTAGCTTTGAAATAAATGGTCCTCCCCAATAGAGAGAGAGGAAAAAGAGAGAAAGAGAGAGAGAGAGAGTATATGCATGCATAAACGGGTGCCTAAATTTTCTTTTGAGAGAAAACTGGTTACCATTAAGTAGAAGACAGCCTTTATTAAGCAAACAAAATACAATTTTAAAAAGTGTACTGTTTATATAAACTTCACACTGCCTCTTTCAGGCAGCTAAACTTATTTTCTGTTTTTTTGCTTTCTCACCTATCTGAATACTAGTCCTTCACTAACACTCAAAGCCTTGGTCTTGATAATAATTTCTGATTATAGAACATTTGCAAGAAAAAAGAGGGCTAGACAGATAGCTCAGTAGTTAGGGGTGCTTGTTGATTTTTGGAAAGAGTTCAGTTTCCAGCATCCAATTTAGAAGGCTCACAACTGACTATTAACTAACTGTTAATTCTAGGTCCAAGGAATCCAAAAAACTCTTAAAAATGAAAGAGGGAGAGGAGGAGAGGGCGAAGAAAGACAAAGAGACAGACACAGGAGGGGCATAGTCTCTCTCTGGATTTTCAAGAGATTTATAAGACAGGGTTTCTCTGTATAGCTCTGGCTGACCTCAAACTCACAGAGATCTTGCTGCCTTTGCCTTCTGAGTGCTGAGATTGAAAGCATGAACCACTATAGTTGGATTTTCTTTTACTTTAGCCCCACGCTGACATGCCAAAATATTATTGTTTGGCTTTTACTCTTTTGGTCTTTAGTGGTTTGTTCTTTCGGCTCTTTTGAGGGGCCCACCACCCAGCTCCCAAATAAATCACACATGGAAAGATCTATTATTACTTATAAATGCCCAGCCTTTGCTTGGGCTTGTTTCTTGCCACTATTCTTAAATTAATCAGTCTACCTTTTGCCTCTGGACTTTTACCTTTCTGTTATTTCTGTAAATCTTACTTTCACTCTGACTCCATAGCTGCCTAGAGGGGCTAGTCCCTAGCATCCTTCTCCCCTTATTCCCCCCCCCCTTTTCTTTATTGCTTCTTCTCTTTATTGCTTCTTTATTACTCTTTCTGCCTGCCAGCCCAGCTTATTGTTTCTCCTGCCTCACTATTGGCTGTTCAGACATGCAAAGAACCACAGCTTCACAGAGTTAAACAAATGCAGCATAAACAAAAGTAACAAATCTTTACAACATAAACAAATGTTTCACAGCATGAAAAGTAACACACCTTAAAATAGCACTCTACAACATACTGAGTGTCATACTGAACTCAAAATACTTACATGCCCAAATTCTCTTTAAGTTTTGTCTACATGTATTACATATACATATATACCTATACACATGACATACATTCCTGCTGCTTTTGGAGGCACAAAGACAACACTGGAACTACAATTACAGCCAGCTATGAGGTGCTGGGAATTGGACTGCGTCTGTGCTGAACAGCCAGGGGCTCTTCACCACTGAACCATTACTCCAGCTCTACTTTTTTTGTTTTTTCAAGACAAGGTTTCTCTGTGTAACCCTGGTTGTCCTGGAACTCACTCTGTAGACCAGGCTGGTGTCAAACTCACAGAGATCCACCTGCCTCTGCCTCCTGAGTGCTCCAATTAAAGGTGTGCAGCATAATTGCTCTGCTAGTCCTGTCTTTAGGCAGTATCCTCATGAAAATAAATATTATCACATGTAACAGGATATATTCTTACTGATTTTCAAGTAGAGTACATTATAATAAATTACTTGAAGTAAAATACTCAGCACTCAACAACTACTAACTTTTCTTAAAGCATATTACTAACTTTTCTTAAAGTATATTGTAACTCAAAATATAGGGAGAAAATAGTGTTTTTATTCCATAAGCCAAAAAAAAAAAAAAAAAAAGAAGTTAATGAAAATGAACATTCTTTGGAGCTTCAAGAACTATCTCTCCCCATATACACACAGACACTCCTGGGCTTCAAAATCAGGAGGAGATAACTTAATGATTTATAACACTAAGAGGTTTTCCTTTAAAATACCTGGAAAAGAGCCATACTGGGCTCCAGACTGTCTTCTGGCTTCTTCTTCCTTGAAGACAAAATGAAAACAAATTATAAAACAGTAGAAAAAACAACAAAGGAACCTTTTTCTCCCCATACCTAAACCTTCAACAGAAATCGAGGAAATCAAAATCTAAAATAAGACTGAAGTCAGAAAGTTAAGGTTCAACCAACAGAGGAACCACTTCCAACTGTCCCTGGAGCTTATGTTACTAATGATTTCTAGCATTTTTACTTCTCTGAAAACTTAAAACACATATATGCTTCATTTATGCAAGCGATGAATTCTCACTTGTTTTAAAACTCCAAAACAAAAGGGCATGTCTAGACTACATTCCAAGTTCATCTTGTCTACCTACTTACAGTAAAATGTAAAACAACACTGAAGAAGGCTCCCTGAGCTGTTTTTAAGAACAAAGAATGACCAATTAGAACCTACCTTCATACCCAGTTACAAACAATCAAGACAAGGCTATATATATATATCCCAGTGGTGCAGCACTTGCCTCACATGAGTGAGGGCCCAGTTCAATCCCCAGGAAACTAAATAAATATACACATATAGATATAATTTTATAAACTATGATAAATAAATGTAAACAGTATGATGCTTATTAAATGACCCCAAAATTAAGACTTATTTATATACAGCTACATGTCCTTTCAGCAATGTTATAAACAAGTACAACTGATAAAAACAACTGTTCCCTCTAGAATTAAGACAGTACTCTCTGTAAGGAAGCTGTTTACACAGGAAGGTAAACAACTCAAAAATATACCTATAGTTGATCTCTGAAACTGACTAGATTCTCTAGGCCCCCTCCTTCTCAAAAGAAAACAAGTCAAGCAGCTCAGAATCACTTCCAGCCAAGCAAGGTGCAGACCATGAGACCAGCCAAGCTGCCTGGAAAAGGTCATTAGGAAAGGTCACTTTCCTGTTGAGCAGCCAGTGCAGTGTGCTCCAGGTTCCCAGCTGTTTGTGAGCTGTCACTCATGCTGGGTGGGCTTTGTTGATGCAGCTGTCTCTAAGTCATTATTCTCTTGTAAGTAACCCCTTATCCATATTCCTGTAAGTAACCTAAATAAAACTGAGTGTTCACCAAGTTGGACTTTGTATCCACACCTTGATCTGTTGTAGACTCCCTACCTGGGTCAAGTAGACCTGTGTCTAGCATCACCCAAGGAAAATTCTTGACACAACACTATTATACAAAGGTACATGGGGAAAAACAAACTAGGAAAAACAAGAACAGTATTAACAATACTGGAAAAACTACCAAAAATCTTTCTACATTTCTATGATACAACTGTATAATTATTTTTTAAAAAACCTTATTTTTTTCCCCTGTGAGACAAGACTATGTAGCCAATGGTGACTTTAAATTAAAAGTCCCCCCACTTAGCATCCAGAATGCTGGGATTATAGATGTATAGCTAAAATCTTTTTTTGATAGTCATGAATCTATAGTTGTAAAGTTAAGAATCATAAAAAAACACAGGGGAAGAATCCTATGGGGAAGGACTAGTACCCACATAAAATGACAGTACTATCAAAATTTAATTAACCTGGCCAGGAAATTTTAAGCTTGGATGGGGAAAAGGGTTGCTCTGCTGTGGAAGTGCTTTGTAAGTTATATTCTTGACCCAAATTTGCAAAATTAAAAGAAAAAAGTATGTAACTTGGTGAAATGCAAGTTCACATGACCTTAGAAACTAAAAACAGAAAGGACAAAATGAAAGGAGACTCTTGTCCAGGGCTGACTCCCCACACGCTGTAGCCATTATGGAAAGATAGAATTAAACAACAGTGTCCTAAAGTTTTGTCTACTGTTAGCTATAGCAATTTACCCTTTGGGCTCTCTCATGCTCCTCTCGAGCCTTCTTTACCCTTTCTATTCTTTCTTTTATCTCTCGCTCCTCACGTTTGCGCTCATACTTTCTCCGATGTTCAGCAATTTTTTGTGCCTGGGGGGGAAAAAAAAACACACACAAGAAATAAATTTGCCTGAAATGTCTGATAAAGTTAAGTGAAGAAGCTTTGTTAAGAGTTCCTTCTTCTAGTGGGACATTGGCGATGCATGCCTTTAATGCCAGCACTCTGAGTTCGAGGCCAGCCTGGTCAAGTTCAGGACAGGCTCCAAAGCAATACAGAGAAACCCTGTCTTGAAAAACCAACAAGAGTTCCTTCTTCTAATAGTGACTTCTTACTATATTGCTCTACAAAATGACAGATTCATCTTACAGAAAAAGAACCTCAGCCATGAAAGCTGGAGGGAGACTAAGGAGGTTCCATACCACTCTGAAGAGCTACAGGTACCTCAAGGTTGATGGCGGGGAAGAGACACTTTCTTAGTTGTACAGCACATCTCCTATAAAGAAACCCTAAGAAAACTCAATGGGTCAGAATGAAAAAGACATGAAAGTGTAAGGGGAAAGAGGAACCTAGCTGGTGGGGGAGAATGGGAAAGAGTAATGGGAAACAAGAATAATCAAAATTCATTATGTACATGTGTGCTAGTTTGAATGTAATTGGCCCTCATAAGCCCATAGGGAGGGCACTAGTAGGAGAGTGGAATTACTGGAGAAAGTGCTGTCACTATAGGGGTGGGCTTTGAGGTCGCATATGTGCTCAAACTACAACCAGTGACACAGTTCCCTTTCTGTTGCCTGCGGATCAAGATGTAGAACTCTCAGCTCCTTCTCCAGCACTATGTCTGCCTGCATGCTGCCATGTCCACCATGATAATGAACTGAACCTCTAAAACTGTGAGCTCCAATAAAATGTTTTCCATTATAAGAGTTACTGTGGTCATAGTGTCTCTTCAGAGCAACAGAAACTCTAAGACAACATGTAAATTATATATAATTAACATAAGCTAATAAACTCATTAAGAATAACCAAACATAAATCCAGGCTTTACACACTATACAAAAAAAAAAAAAAAAAAAAAGAGAGAGAGAGAGAGAAAAGGGAATAGGGGAAGGAAAGAAGGGAAACAATTTGGTATGTAAAAATAAATGAGGAAGGCAGATAGTCAAAACATATACCACATTTTTACCACAGTCTATATTTGAAGTTTCTTCATCTATGAAATGGGGGCAGGGTAGAGCTGGAAAGACTGCTCAATGGTTAAGAACACTAGCTCGGTTTGATTTTTAAGACCCATACCACAGCTTACTATTGTCTTTAACTCTAGTTCCAGACAACCCAATGTCCTCTTCTACCCCCTGAAGGCAATGCAGGAACATGGTAACCTAACACACATCCAGTCAAAACACCCATACACATAAAGTAAAAATAATACTTTTAAAAATAGGGGATATGGCCAGAAACAATTCATCTTGGATCCTGGGGTATAGTTTTATGGTTAAGTACATGATTAACATATATAAGGCCCTGAGTTTAACCCCTAGAACCACCCTAGGGGTGGAGGTCAGGGGACAGAAACAGACCTTTCAAATACTTTGGAGATGAACAGTTGGTATTCAAATGTTACTTTAGTGTCTATACAAATTTTTAAGAACTTTATGTTTTAAAAATATTTTCAACCACTAGTTTGCTAAGTTTACAGTAATAAAAGTTTCAAAATGCTGGGGAGATGGGGTGTGCACACTTTTCATCCCACAGCACATGGGAGGTACAGGTAGGTGATCACTGTGTTTGAGGACAGCCTGATCTACATAGTGAGTTCCAGGACAGCCAGAGCTACACAGTAAGATTCTGTACATAAAAATTCTATAGCTTTTGTAGTAAACATTTTCATTAAAAAAGAAAAATCTTTTGGGGGCCAGTGGTGGTGCATACCTTTAATCCCAGCTCTTGGGAGGTAGAAAAAGGCAGATCTCTGCTAGTTCCAGGCCAACCTGGTCTACACAAATGGAGATCCAGAAGAGCTGGAACTATACACAAAGAAACCCTGTCTCGAAAAGCAAAATTTATCAGTAGTAAAGACTTAAAAACAAAAACAAAAAAAAAAACCCAACTGAACTTGAAATTCACCTCAGAGAGGTCTTCCTCCTTAGCACATACCTATTACATAAGGACAGAGCAGATGTCAGATGTAATCCTGAGTCACTTTTTGTGGTGTTCAGTTGCTTTCCTTGTTGTAAACCTTCCCTTTCTTTCTTTTTTGAGACAAGGTCTCTCTACATAGCCAGAACTCATAGAGATCTGCCCGCTTCTACCTCCTAAGTGCCGGGATTAAGGCATGTGTATACCACTTTCTGATTTTGTGTGTTATTCCACCGAAGCCTTGCAGAAGTCATACAGCCTATTCTCTGACTTTAGCCTCTACATGCTTCACCACCTGTTTTTCAGCAGATTAACCTCCCAGGCCAAGTACAAAGCCGGGGAGTCTACAGTAATGACTGGCATACCCGAGCCGTGGAGTCTAAGGTAACCCTGACATACCCGAGGCTGAACTTCTCTCAGCACTGCACTGGCGTCCTCGTCATAATCCAGCTTACAGGCAAGGGCGAGGTCATGAGCTGCTTCTTCCCAGTGACCCAGGAGTCTGAAACAGAAGTAAACTCATTGAAAGAGCCACTTATAAACAGCAGAGTAACAGAAAAATTTTCACTCAATTAACTACAAATTTTTATCACCAAAGTGAGCACTGTGTTACTGTGATAGTTAACTTTCTAAAAATCTGAAGGAACTGAACTTTCCACAATGATAATTCTGCTGCGTTTAAAAGAAGGAGGTAAAACAGTAATTTTCTAACATGAAAAACACTTTACATGTTCTATGTAGACCTGAGGTGAAAGACACGCATAAGTGCCTGCATTATTGAGAAACAATCAAACCCAGTACTCAGAACTAGAAGACTGGACCAGAGAGGCAGTTGAAAACGAGATGGAGACCATATACACCATGACATGAGATACTGCCACCCTCTCAAGATAAATGTAATAAAAAATGATAAAGCAAACCCTAAACCCAGATATAAACAAAAATGAGACTACCACATTCACAACACAAACACACAAAACATGAAATTATCTTTCTAAATATTTTGTTTTAGCTACATACTTTAAATGGGCTATATTCTTAAAGTGAACCCTGATACCAAGAAAACTTTACAATTTATTTGGAAGACATGGTATGCTAAGTTAGTAACTATGAAACACTGTTAATGTATATGATAGGGTTAGAAAATCACATAGGGACAAAGACTTAAAAGGCAAACATTTAATTTTTATTGAAAATCTCAGCATAAATTCAACTTATAAATGCTTCATTCAAATCATGAATTTATAAAGATTATTTTTTGGTTGTGTTCAATGAAATAACAATAAAGACAGTAACAGAAGTAGTAAGTATACCCTACCACACAACTTTTAGAGTTCACAAAATGATCTATGGTTTCTTAGAAAAATACTTTATTCTAAATCTCCACCAGTCAGTGTACAAGATGAGTCTATGCTGGTACTAGACAGCAAAACACTACTTGAGGACTAGTGGCCAGCTTCAAAGAAACCAACAACAATGTGTGGGTGTCTACTGCACCCACAGCATTTATACATTTTATTTCAACCTTTCCCCCTTTCTCTTTGACTTCCCTTCATAAAAATCATTACTCTAAGTCATTTAACACATTTGTGCAAAGAATATCCCTTCTCTCCAAGCAGTGGTGGCACCATGCCTCGAATCCTAGCACTTAGAAGGAAAAGGCAGGTGGATCTCTGTGAGTTCCAGGCTGGTCCACAAAGTGAGTTTCATAACAGTGAGCACTGCTTCAAAAAGAAACCCTGTCTTGAAAAACAAAAGCAAGGTCTGGGTCAGAAGTAAGAGCACTATTTGCTCTTCCATAAGTCCTGAGTTCAATTCCCAGCAACAAATGGTGGCTCACAACCATATATAATGAAATATGGTGCCCTCTTCTGGCATGTAGACATACATGCAGGCATACATGTTTTGTAACAAAACAAAACAAAACAAAAAAAAACAAACAAGACAACAACAACAAAAAAACACCATTCTCTCATCTCTATTCACATTTGACCTACATCAGCTTCTCAAGCCAACTGAAAGACCTTAGACTTCCCTAAGACATGTGAAGCACTAAGTTTTACCACTAGAAATGATTACTAGACTGGGTGAAACTACCTTTATATCCAGATTTTTTTTTTTTGAAAGGTTCCAGTAATGAATAAAGAAGTTTAGGTTTGTGTAGTCAATACAGGATCATCTCTCTTTGATTCTTCTATTTCCCACCATGAAAGGGTTTCTCTGTACAGCCTTGGCTGTCCTGGTACTCACTCTATGGGCCAGGCTCAAATTCAGAGATCCACCTGCCTCTGCCTCTGAGTGCTAGGATTAAAGAGCAGCACCACTACCCAGTCACAACCAGCTTTTTAAATCATGTGGGTCAAACTCAGTCCTCAGTGCACTGTAACAGCTAAGCTATTTCCCCAGCCCTCTTTGCTCATTTACCTGTGTGCTTTCCCTCGCCACTTGTATGGCTGAGCAGAATCAGGGTTTATTTCAATGGCTCTGTCACAGTCTCGAATGGCAGCATTTGGCTTCTGTAATTTGACGAAGACACTAAAAAAAAAATGAAGGTAGTATTAAGAAAAACTTCATATCAAACAATAAAACCTTTGAGATTTCTACAGAATCAAACTAAACAAAGGATTATAAGAAGTCTACAAAAGGTACTTTTGTACTTAAGTGTTCTTACCTGGCTCTCTTGGCATACAGAATAGCCAAACGGGGATTTAGCTTGATGGCGTCAGTGAATAAGTCAATTGCTTTCTGCAGCTCACCTGAAGTTAAATAAAACTTACTATGAAATATCCAAAGGACAAAAGACTTTTTAATCTGATTAAGAATTAGGTATCCTTTTCTAAGTCTACCTTTTTAAAAAGAGAAAGACTAATAGAGACAAGAGACAAAGTTCAGTGCTATATACTTTCAAACAAGCATGAAGCATTGTGTTTAGCAGCCAATACTTTAACATTTTTTAAATAAGGAGCTAGAGAGATGTCTCAGTGGTTAAGAACACTGACTACTATTTCAGAAGACACAGCACCCACATATAAACTCACAACCAACCATCTATAGTCCAAGTTCCAAGAGATTCGATGCCTTCTTCTGGTCTCCAAGGGTACCAGGCCACTCATACACATAAAATGATAAAAATAATTTTTAAAAAATTTAAGAGTTGGGTGGGGTAGCACAGGCCTTTAATCCCAAAACTTGGAAGGCAGAGGCAGAAGGATCTCTATGAGTTCGAGGCCAGCCTGGTCTACTTAGGGTGCTCCAGAACAGCCCAGACCCTATCATGAAAAACAAAACAAGACAAACAAAATAGAAAAAAGATAAAGCAAGATGACACACATTTGTAAACTCCAGCACTCAGGAAGCAGAAGTCAGAGTATTGCAAATTAGAGGTGAGCCTAGGCCACACAATCAAAAGAGGAGACGTACATGGTAGCATCAGAGAATGAATTCCTGAAAGCTGTTCTCTGACCTCTACACACAAAGTATGTACATTAATGGGGAGCTGGAGCAAACAATACTCTTGCAGAGGACCCAATTTTGGTTCTCAACACTCACAAGGTGGCTCACAACCACTTCTAACTTCAGTTCCAGGGCATCTAAGGCCCTGTTCTGACTTCCAAGGGCACCAGGCACAGATGTGGTAGACACACATACACAGAAGCAAAAATATACACAGAAACAAATAAATCTTTTAAAAATCCAAAACATTACTAGGCAGTAATGGCTCACTCCTTTGATCTCATCACCAAAGAGGTAGCAGCACAAGGATCTCTGTTGAGTTCAACCCTAGCATGGCTTACAAGAGAGTTCCAGGTAGGGCTATTACACAAAGAAACCCTATCTTGGGAAAAACAAACAAACAAAAAAAAAAAATCAAAAACATTAAGTAAATGTTAAAAAAAATAGTAAGCACATTAATTTTATGCTAGTTATTTTACTTGTTAAATAAGTTAAGTTTAAAAAGGATTAAGTGTCCAACTGATTTCACGGGGTTGATAAAAAAAAAAAAAAGAGTACTACTTGTATTCACAAAAATGGAGACATTGAAGCCATTAAGACCTTTATTCACTATTACCACTATTTGTCTCTGTGTGTTTTTATTAATGTATACACACGTTGGGCCCACAAGATGGCACCAGATCCTTTAGAGCTGGATTTATGCACATTTGTGTGCCACACAACATGGGTGCTAGTCCTAACTCTAGTCTTTATGACAGAGGAGATGGCAAGCATTTTTAGTCACTTAATCTCTCCAGCCCCACATTCTTAGATTTATGTATAAAGAATTACATTTATTCAAGATTTGTGTGTTCATTTATACACAGAGACAACTTTCAGAAGTTTATCTCCTTTCATCATGGGGTCCTAGGGCTTGGACTCAATTGCCAGGATTGGTAGCAAGCACCTTTACCTACTGAGCCACCTTGATGGCCCAAAACTTTTGTTTTTCATTTCTATTTTTTTTCAACTAGCCCTTTTAAGAGAGATTATCCAACAAAAACAATTAGAAGAGCTCTTTGTGTAGATCAGTTTAATTCTCAGGGGCAAGACAAAACTACAGAATTTTAAAATAAATGTCAAATTTTATTTAGAAAAATATTTACCCAATTAATAAGTAGCAAAGATATACATAGTTGCACATACCTCTAATGTCAGTACTGAAGAGACTGAGGCAATAGGATCACAATTGGAGGCGTGCCTAAACTACATCAAAAGGACCCTATCTCTAAAAGACAAAAACAAACAAAATGTAAAAGACAAGAGACAGTTATAGTCTGACCACAGTGGGTGGGAAGAACAACATGGTAAGTCTTCAAATGTTATATTAAGTACTGGCCCTTAGGTAAAACAGTAGTACCAGCAGTTCTTGGGTGTGAAGGCATCACACGACTTTAATCTCAGCACTCAGGAGGCAGAGATAGGTGGCTCTCTGTGAGTTCCAGGCCAACTACATTGTATGAACCTGTCTCAATAGAATAAAACGACGGCTTTAATACAGGCCAAAAAACCAAAACAAACAAACAAACAAACAAAAAAAAAAAATCAGCAGCTGGGTGGTGGAGGAGGCACACCTTTAGTCCCAGCACTCAGGAGGCAGAGGCAGGTGGAACTCTGTGAGTTCAAGACTAGCCTGGTCTACAAGAGCTAGTTCCAGGACAGCCTCCCAAAACCACAGAGAAACCACACATACACACACCCAAATGGTACAATGAACTGGGGATGGTGCTAAAGCCAAAATCCCCCAGCATTCAGAGGCTGAAAGAGGAAGCTTTTGAGTTCAATAAAAATCAGACGTGACTACTCAGTGAAAGTTCTAAGCTAGCTCTACTACATGCAGAGACTAACACTTTTCCCATCCAAGCCCTGTCCCCCAATGCCAAAAAGTCAAGCAGCCAAAACAAAACAACACTGTTAATTAAAATTCATTCTAAAATAAAACTTGAGTCATCTTCTAAATCAAGTGCAAATGGGAATTAGCATGTGACTTAACTATCAGCATTAATTAAGACAATGACAAGCCACCTCAGTTATGAAGCAGACTGTGTTAAATGTTACTGATAATTGTCACAACAGTTCCAAGTTTATGATCACTTGTTCTAACTGTAACTAAACATAAACAATACCAAGCCTCTCTGATAATCTTTTTCTTAATTACATTTTTAGGGGCTTGAGAGTTGGCTCAAGAGTTAAGAGCTCTTGTAAAAACCCAAGTTATCATTTTCAGCACCACAAGGTAGCTCATACCATCCTTACTCCAGTTACAAAGGATCTGACACTATGTCTTCTGGCTTCTACAGACACCAGACACATACATGATGCACACACATAGATGCAGACAAAACACTCAAACATTGAAAAAAATAAATTTTTGACAAGAGCAGGAGGGGGCATGCCAAGGAATACATGGGGGTCAGAGGGCAACCTACAGAAGTCATTCTCTCCTTCCACCACGGGGATCAACCTCAGGCCAACTCAACTACGCTTGGAATGAGTTCCTTTGCCTGCTAAGCCAAATTGTTGGGGTCACCACCAACAATTTTTTCTGAAGACCTAGAATGCAGGGACTATATTCCCAGTGTAGTAAGTGTTTGGCTTACAACACCACTTATGGAAGGTTATGGATTGCAAGGATTTTTTTTTTTTCAAGACAAGGTTTCTCTATGTAGCTTTGGAGCCTCTCCTGGACCTTGCACTGTAGACCAGACTGATCTCAAACTCAGAGATAGATCCCTCTGCCTCCTGGGGGGTGCTGTAGCACTAAAGGTGTGCATGACCAACACCTGGCTTTTTTTTTTTTTTTTTTTTTTTTGAGTCAAAGTTTCTGTGTAGCCCTGTCCTGGAACTCTTCTGTAGCCCAGTGAAGCCTCAAACTCAGATCTACCTGCCTCTGCCTTCAAGTTCTGGGATTAAAGACATATGTCACCACCACCACCTGGTCTCTTCCATCTTTTTGTTGTTGTTTTGTTTTGCTTTGGAGCCTGTCCTGGAACTAGCTCTGTAGACTAAGCTGGCCTCGAACTCAAAGATCCACCTGCCTCTGCCTCCCGAGTGCTGGGATTAAAGGCGTGCGCCACCAATGCCCGGCGCTCTTCCATCTTTTTAAAAGCTGCTTCTGAGTAAAGAAAGGTCATGACACATACAGAAGAAGTAAAGACTGATCTGCCTATACTGAGGTAATGTAACTGATGCTGAATGATTTTAGACTCTTTGCTATGAGGAAGGGAAAGGCTGAACAGTAGGATCCTAACATCTTCAGTATGGTAACTCAATCCCTTCAAGTTTACACTATTAACAGTTATAAAAATACAGCAAAAAGAACACACTACTCACCATCATTTAGGGCTTCAATGGCAGCGCCCTTCTTTTCATTTGCTTGATCCATCATGTCCTCAGTTATCTAACAGAAAATTGAAGGTTATCTCAGAAGTAGTGAAGCAAGAGAAGGAAGCAATGTGAACATTCTTAAGGATGACAGTCATTATCCACACATTTATACATTCACCTCTAGTAGTGAAAAACTATAGTGTTAGCCTTTTATACTACACATTTCATACCCTGCCTTAGATAGGATTTTTGTTTTGCCTCCTTCTAATTATCCTTCCTCTTCCGTGGGAACTATCCATGAAAATTAAATCCAGTCTCTGCATAAAAAGTGAACTAAATGCCTTTCACACTTCAATCACAGAAGACATATGTCTTAATCCTTTCTTCCCATAAAAACCATGAGCACCTATACTAATTAATAAGTACTAGGAACAATGCTGACAAAGACTAATAATAACACATGCAGAATATCCTATTTAAAGTTGAATGTTTGAGAGAGATGGCTCAGAGGTTAAGAACACTGGCTGCTCTTCCAGGGGTCCTGAGTTCAATTCCCAGCACCCACATGGTAGCTCACAATCATCTGTAATGAGATCTGGTGCCCTCTTCTGGCCTGCAGGCATATATGCAGACAGACACTACACATAATAAATCTTTAAAAAAAAAAAAAAAAAAAAAAGTTGAATGTTTGGTGGTAACTTTATCACCTCTACTATGTGAAACACCTGCAGGTACCAACTAAGAAAATGAGCTCTTCGATTAAAAGCTTTAATCCCAGTATGCAGGAGACAGAAGCAGGAGAATCTTTCCAACTTGGTCTACACTATGAGTTCCAGGCCAATGAGAGCTTCATAGCAAGCTTGTCTTGGTGATGGTGGTAGAGCATGAGGTGATGGAAATTATTTGCTATGTCTAAGAACAGAAAGGAAAGCTATCTATCTTTATATCCAAGTGACAAATTACTTGATCTATAAAACAAGAACAATACAAAACATCAAGCAAGCCAACTGGGTGTGGTAGCACACACCTTCATCTCAGCATTTAGGAGGTAGAGGCAAAGGATTGCTAGAAACCCAAGGCCACCTTGGTTTACTGGGTAAGACTCTTACAATGCAAAAACAACAACAAAAAGCAAAATGGGAGTCCCTGTACACCACAAAAGATTGTATAAAACACAAATCAAGCCTATAAAGTTTCTAAAACCACATAAGACTTACGAAAAAGTAAAATTCTATGAAAAAAAAGGCTTTGATGAAAAATTTATGTCACATATATAAAAATGGCTTTATGCATCTATGTACAACCCAGGACACAAAAATCAAAGAAAATGTGGTATGTGTCTCACTGAGTCTGCCATATTTCACTTAACAGGATTTCCAGATATATATGATTTCATTCTTCTTTATGGTTTAAAACTCCACTGTGTATACACACACATTTTGTTCTATCTATGTGGGGGATAGAATGAACATGGCTACCTTAGGCCCATTTATTTGCACACTTAGACCCAGTTAATAAACTGGGAAGTACTAGGAAGTGTGGCCATGTTCTTGTTAGAGGTATGTTGCTGGGGATGAGCTTTGAAGTTTCAAAAGCCGAAACCAAGCCTAGTGCCTCTCCTCTCTGGCTGCTCCTTACGACTCAGAACTCTCAGCTATTGCTCCAGCAAGCTGTCCCTGCCATGTGGTAATGAACTAACACCTGGACCTGTAAGCAAGACCCCCAACTAAATGTTTTCTCTTTAAAGAGTTGCTTTGGCCATGGTGCCTTTTCACAGCAATAGAAGAACCCACTCACCTGTTGACAGGCAACTGGCCAAGTCCCTAACTTGGTCCATTGTGAACAGTGCTGCAATAGCATAGGTATCTCACTGTGCCTATGGCATGCTGACCTTGTTACAAGTCTGTATTCAAGAGGGAAATGGGATAGGGAGAGAATACCTATGGTCAAAGAATCCATTTCAATCTGTCTTTATCAAAAAGAATAATTACTCTGATCTGATCAGTATACACTGTATATATATATGTATTGAAATTATCACACCATGCTTGAAAAAGTTTTGTGTTAAAGAGAAAGTACATGTTAGATCTATATCATGTTAATTGTATTCACTGAAATATTTTGATCTACTCCTAAAGTATTTATTAAATTCCTATGACAAATTATAAAACATGTTTTTAAGAACAAAGTCAAAGCCGGGTGTTGGTGGTGTACGCCTTTAATCCCAGAGGCAGAGGCAGGCGGATCTCTGTGATTTCAAGACCAGCCTGGTCTACAGAGCTTGTTTTAGGACAGGGCCAAAGCAATACAGAGAAACCCTGTCTCAAAAGACCAAAACAAAACAAAACAAACAAACAAACAAAAAAGCCAGTTCAAATAACTCAACAGCAAGCCATATGCAATGCCAGGTAAACTGAGAATTAACAAATTTTAAAAAACTAAGCAGTCTTCACTTGAAGATGTAAAAATATTAAAAACAAAACAAAACAAAAAACAACCCACAAGAAAGGCTGTATTCACCCTTGTAGACAATGTCAAACCTAATACCCTGATATTTTTGAAGATAATGCAGAACACAACACAAAGTATATTATTATATTCAGATGAAGATGAGGATCCGTTAACCAACACGACTTCAAGTGAATCTCAAGTCTGAAATGCCTACACTGACAAACATATGGTATACAAAGCTAAACTTCATTCACACAAGGGACAGTCAAGTAGAGATGGAGAGGATAAAGCACCCCTGAAAAATCCATAACTGGGCTGATGAAAAGTCTCAGCAGGCAAAGGTGCTTGCCACCTAGTCAGATGAGTCTGATCTCCACGACCCATATGGTAAAAGGTCTGATCTCCAAGGATAAACATAAAATAATTAAACAAATAAAAAGTAAATTCCAAAACCATGAAGCAATTTTTCACTGGAATTCTGTATTACCAATGTAAACAAAAGCTATCCTGGGAATTAAAATGGTCCAAGCTTCAACTCAAAGCTTTGATGGAAGCAAATACATTCCTTTTGAGACAAACATACCATCTACAAACTATCACAAGAAAAATTCCAAGGAATTTAAGGTCAAAATGTTACATAAAAGCAAAGCACAATGTGCATAGTGGTAATCCTAACACTTTAGGAGGTTTTGCTGAGTTTGGATCTAGCATGGGCCATATAGCAAAAAGTTAGCTCACAAAAATAAAACAAAATAAACCCTAAAATGGATATCTTACAAAGACATAAACAACTAAGGAACCTTAAAAAAGAATCAGCATGCAAATATCAAGATAAACCAACAATCAGATTCAAAAGTAAAGGGAGAAGATGAGACAAGAGTATTCATAATTCAACAGTGACAAAAGATGACAGAGAAAAAGGCCAACATATCTACCTAATCTGGATTCTGGAATAAAAGTATAAAGACGAAGCACTATCTGAAAGAATAATTTAAAATGTTCTAGAACTAAAGAATGTTAACCCCTAGAATGCAGTGAATCCCCAGCAGAAGAGGGGAAACTACAAACATCAATAAATAGTACATACATTTTATAAAAGTTTTTTTTTGTTTTTGTTTTTTGGTCTTTTGAGACAGGGTTTCTCTGTATTGCTTTGGAGCCTGTCCTAGAACAAGCTCTATAGACCAGTGTGGCCTCGAAATCACAGAGACCCGCCTGCCTCTGCCTTTCGAGTGCTGGGATTAAAGGTATGCACCACCAACGCCCGGCTATAAAAGTTTTTTTTTTTTAAATGGCAACCCAAAGTACTTAACAAAGCTGCATGAAATTTATGGGGGAGGGGGAAATGTTAAGAAAGCTATTGAAAGACATCTTAAAATTACATAAATACTAAGAGGAATTCTTTCAACTTGACTTAAATTTAAGGCAACTCTAATCAAATCTCCCTACCCCATATCTTTCTCCTCCCACTGTGTGCATGTGTGTGTGCATGTATCTAGAAAGAGAAGGGAACTGTGAATGAGAATAAGCCTACATTGAACAGGAGACCAGGGCAATCTAATTCTAAAATTTATTGAAAAAAATAAAACAAGAACAGCTAAAATATTTGAGTTCTATGAGTCCTTGTCCTATCAGATAATAAACTTCGTACACAGCTGTATAAGAAAATGTGGCATTAGTATAAAGAAAGGAATTAAGACATACAAAACAGATTAAACATAGTAAACAGTATGTCAGCACTGATGAAAGAAACGTCAATAAAGGTTGCATGAATTAATGACAAAATACAAAGTGTTAGTTAGGTATGATGATACACTCTTGTTAACACCAGCAACTGGGAGACTGAAGCTACAGGATCACCTTGTTTGAAGACAGTGTGAGCTATGTAAAATGCTCAAATAAACTAATAAGTAAATGAGTTAATAAATAATCAGAAGGAGGGCTTCAGATACAGGTTGGTTGAGTGCTTGCCTAGCATGTACAAAGCCCTGGATTTCATAACCAGCATCCCATAAAACTGGAGCATTTGGGTAGCTAAGGCAAAAACTTCCAAGTCAGCCCAAACTAAGAGATCTTGTCCAAAAAAACAAAAAGTGGGGAAGGAGAAGCATAAGAAAGGAAAAACACAACATAATAAAAATTGGGAAAAGGCCTGAACAGACTGTACAAATGACCAAAATAGATCAAAGTATGCTCAAACCTATTAGAAGTCAGGAAAAGCTAAAAGCCATAAGAGCAGACTAGCAAAGATGACTCTCAAAACAGGTGCTGAAGATGCATTACATTACTATTTATAAACTTCTTTCCTCAGCAGACTCCATGAGACATTTAAAGTACTGTTGCCCTTTGGAAGGGCACTGATCACTCTTCATTTAAAACTGTTTTCCAGGGAGCTAGCAAGATTGCTCAGTGGTTAAGAACACTAACTGGTCTTCAAGAGGTCCTGAGTTCAGTTTCCAGCAACCACATGGTGGCTTACAACCATCTATAATGAGTTCTGGTGCCCTCTTCTGGCTTGTAGGCATACATGAAGTCAGAATGTTGTATACATAATAAATAAATCTTTAAAAAAAAAAAAGATAAAAAAAAAAACAAAAACTGTTTTCCATTATCTCCTTTTCCAGTACTAGTTTTCACCTCTTTGAGGACGGGCTGGTTGTGACAAAAGCATTTGGAAAAAATGTGCCATTAGATATTCCATCAAAAGACAATTATAAGCTGGGCATGTTGCCACAAGGCTTTAATCCCAGCATTTGGGAGGCAGAGGCAGGCAGATCTCTGTGCGTTCAAGGACAGCCTAGTATACAAAGCAAGTTCCAGCACAACAACTAGAGCTGTTTTACAAACACTGTCTCCAAAAAATAAAAACAAAAACAGACAATTCTACGCTGTTCAACAGTTAAGGGCACTGGCTACTTTTCCCGAACACCTCAGTTTGAGCCCCAGCACCCACATGGTGGCTCACAACTGTCTGTAACTCTAGTTCCAAGGTACCAACACCCTCTTCTGGCTTCCTTGGATATCAGATGCACATGGTACACAGACATATTTGCAAACAAAATACTCATACACATAAAATAAAAATTCATCTCAGAAAGACTTCTAATCGTAGGTATATACTTTAGAACAAATTTATTGATTAATCAAACTGAAGTAAATTTAAAGAAGTAAAACAAAATACAAGACTTCAGAGATTATAATTAAAAACACTGTGGGAACTCGCAAATATTTCAGATAGTAAGACTGAAAAATGTGTCAAGATGTAAGTCAAAGGAAGATTTATTATACAATTCTTGGGAGTCATGTTATAAAATAATTGCCAAACTGAGGAACTTCACTTTCCTGAAATAAGTCATCAAATTTACCTCTGCATTTTCATCTCCCATTTCTTGAGGGGCACCAGTGTCTGGCTCAATTACACCGTCATTGTCAATTTCTGCAAAAGTTAAAACCCACTAAATTAAAACCTAAATAAAAAGTGTTGCATAGCCTAATAGCCATTACTTACTTGAAACTATTAAAATCAGATGAACTTGCCTTGAGTGTTGGACATTGTAGATATTACAAACAACACCTCAGAAAGACAATGAACTAATTGCTAGTATAACTATGAGCTAGTTTCACCTGAACTCTGATTCTTTACAAAATACTTCCTTGTTAAAAATAATTCTAGTAACTATTAGTAGGTAAGCCTACTACTTTAGGCGAATGCTGGAGAGATGGCACTGTGATTAAGAGCACTGCTCTTAATCACAGGATACAGATTCAATTCCCAGCACCCATGTGATGATTCACAACCATCTATTAACTCTGGTTCCAGGGGATCTGATGTCCTCTTCTGGCTTCTGAGAGCAACAAGTATAGAGACCCATATGCAGACACTTGTGCACATCAAATAAAAACTTTAAAAAAAAGGCCAGGCATTGGTGGCGCATGCCTTTAATCCCAGCACTTGGGAGGCAGAGGCAGACGGATCTCTCAGAGTTCGAGACCAGCCTTGTCTACAAGAGATAGTTCCAGGACAGGCTCCAAACAAACACAGAAAACCCTGCCTTGAAAACAAAAACAAGAACAGAGAGAGAGACTGAGACTACTACTTGGGCCAAATCAGGTTAAGTTATTGTAGTAATGTGCACAGGGTACTACATAAAAACACCACTGATTTAGTCAGTCTCCAAAATTCACTTGGGAAAACCTCTGGGCCAGAGAGATGACTCAGCAGGCAGAGTGCTTGCTCCAACGCCTGAACCTGAGTTCCTTTCCCAGAACTCCACTCAGTGAAAAGAGAAAATTGACTGCCAAGAGTTACCATCTGGGGGACTGAAGAGCTGGCTCAGTGGTTAAGAGCACTGGCTTTCCAGAGGTTCTGAGTTCGATTCCCAGCAATGACATGGTGGGTCTCAACCATCTGTAATAAGACTTGGTGCCCTCTTCTAACCTGCAGGCATATATGCAGGCAGAACACTGTATACATAATAAAAAAAAAAAATCTTAAAAACTGCCACAAAATCTTCCCCATCAGCAAATTAATAAACTTCTCAAAATTTTTCCAGAGCTGTACTGCAATATTTTTAAAGACATTTACAAAAACAATACAAGTTATAGAGAATCAATGTACCTAAATGACAAAATACTATTTCATTTTAATAAAATTAACTTTAAAAATCAGGTGTAGATAAATTTTCTATTAAAACACAGGGAAAAGTCTGTAGGTCAATATTATAACCAAACTAGTAAATAAAACCAGTTACCTGACTCTGAGGCTGAGGCAAGACTGCCTCAAATGCAATGTCACCTGTACTACATAGTTCCAGATCATCCTGGGCTACAAGCCGAGACACTGCATCAAAAACAAACTGATAAAAATACCACCTACAGGATTGAGTCACCAAGGTTAACTAACATGTTACCATGTGCTCACCTAGATCACTCTCCTCACTTGATGGTTCATCCGTCTTTATGTTTTCCTCTGTTTTATTATCTCTTTTTTCTTCCTAGCAGGAGAAAATTAAATAATGCTGTCAGAACTTAAAAACATAACACATTTTAGCACTCATATAAAACATACATATAAATTTATACCTTATTCAAATATACTATATATTTCAGTTAAGTATCCTTCTTTTACTTCTCATTTCTAATGAACTAGGTGGTACCTTATCCAAACCTTTAAGCTAGGGCATTTTAGAATTTAAATTGCCTTTACAAAGCAAATACAGTTCACATATTACATACTAGGCAGCACTCTTTCACAGGCACTGTACCCCATGACTCTATATATAATCTACCGTTTTGGCTATGCATGGAAACTCCGACCTATATCCACAGTATTCAGGTAGAAGCTTGAAGATCAGTTTATGAGGCCAGCTTACATTGCATTACACTCTTAGAAAACAGTATCAAAAAAACTAATATTACATGCAAAATAAATCACACTATTAATGACTAATGATAAAAAGACAGTAGGGTCACTTGAGGACAGGAGTTTGAGTCCAGTCTGGACAAAAACATGAAACTGTATGCAATAAGAAGCACATCTTCAAATTGTGGAGTTTTTTTGTTTTTTGTTTGTTTTTTAACTGCTGACACAAGTTTTATTATTCCTAATGTACCCACTTGGAAGTATGATCTTTTAAATTTGTTGTCCTTGAAATTTTTCTCTTAGACCAAATTTGGAAACAGATTTAAAACTAAGAATTTGGAGTTGGATGCCAGCTGTTTCAGAATAATGTCACCTATGTGTAAATAGAAAACTCTGTACTGTCCTTCCTTATCTCTTTAGTAGCAGCAAGAGGAAATAAATACCTCAGAGCATTCTCATTCTCCCTCCCTGCTACCTGAGGGAGATTGCCAAGGATGAAGAATTTGAATCCTGGTTTTGTTTTAGCACACTTAGCAGAATGACATGGGGAGGTTGCCCCATGGTTGAAGTTTGGATATGAGGGGGCAAATGACACATAACATAACATATTCTTCAGTAGCTTTCATTTCTCCTATACTAAAATTTTTTTTCTTCCCAAGTTTTCTAATTATCTTAAATTGATGGGAAAATCTGTCCTACTTGGAACCTTAAGGACTTAACTAATTTGTATAAGAAAATAGAAGTTATAATCCAGGTATGATGATAGATGCTTGTAATCTCAACATTTTTGAGACAGGCAAGTGGCTTGAAAACTTAGGTCATCTTGGGTTACATAATGAGCTCCAGGCTATTCTGGATTACCTAGTGAAACCCTCCTTCCACCACCCACCCCCCAAGAGGAAAAAAAAAAGCTCACAAGATGGCCCAGTTTTTTAAAACACTTGCTGTACTTTTTACACAGGGGCCCAGCCCATACTTCAAAAGCTGGGTTTGCAGGGTGGTAGTGGTGGTGCACACCTGTTAAAAAAATAGTATCTTATCTCTAAAGTAAAGAAATTTGAACTTACCTTGACATTGTCTTCTGGCTTGGCTTTATGAGTAGCAGGTGGTACTTTACCCCCCATGCTTAAAATAAGAAAAAGACAGTTGTTTAGAATATTCATCATGAATTCACTAAAAAGCAACTTATACCTAAAAAGGCTTAATGTTTTGATAACCTTTCAAAGCTTAAAAGAATACATTCTCAACTAATATGAATACTTTGCTATGAGTAAGTTTGTCAACTTCAAATTGTTTGGGACACACTAGTTAAATGAAACCTTTCCCCTATCTCTTATGAGCCTAATAAAACTTTTACTGTAGCTCTCAGTACTCATTCCCAAAGGAAAAGAAAAAAGGCAGAGAAGTCAGTAAATACACTATAAAATCATTTCCTAAGCCATTAGCTCAGAAACTAGGGGGTATGGCTGGTGTGTGTGTGTGTGTGTGTGTGTGTGTGTGTGTGTGTACACACACATATCTGAATGGCAAAATTTGAGGTTGACATATGGCAAGAGTATATTAGGAGCTCAGTGGTAAAGTGAATGCCTAGCATGCTGGGGCCACTTGGTCTTTGCAAAGCTCTGATGCTCAATTAGTCTAGGGCAAAAATAATAAAAAATAATAAATAATACAAAAATAATAAATACAAAGGCAAGAAGACTACCAAAAGAATAAGCTTATATGCTGTGCTGCAGGAGTGGCTGATGAGTGAAAACACAACAAATTAATTTAAAGATTTAGTACATGTAAAACTACAAAAGACCCTTAAATGTCATTTTTAAAGATTTATTTTATTATATATATTGTTATGCCCGCATGTATGCCTGCAAGCCAAAAGAAGGCACCAGATCTCATTATAGATGTCTGTGAGCCACCATGTGGCTGCTGGGAATTGAACTCAGGACCTCTGGAAGAGCAGCAAATGCTCTCACCTCTGAGTCATCTCTCCAGCCACTTGTCATTTCTTTTTAAAACCTTTTATTGTTATTATGTGTGGTGTCAAAATGCAAGTGTACAAATGGACATGAGGTTAAGGAGTCAGTTCTCTTCCACTATGGAATCCCAGAATCAACCCAGGTAGCAAGCAAGCACTTCTACCTGCTGAGCCATCTCATCAGTCCACCTTTTCTTTTATGCTAGAGCTGTACTACCTACATTTACACTCTACTTTCCTTCCCACTGGTACAATTTGGATGTAAAGTATATTTAGATGGGCATCAGTTACACTAGTTATCAACAATGCATGAAAAATTGTCGTTATTCAATCCTAGACTCTGCTAACCCATTCAAAATTTCTAACCTTTGTGGGTATACAGTAACATTTCATTGTATTAAGTCCCTTTTCATAGATATAAAATCTTGACCATCTGAGGACCCAGTTTTATAATGTTCAACTCTTATCCGGGTTTCTATGACATTATCTTATTCATGGCATTTAAACTATTCTGCCATGAGCCTGTGTCAGTTTCATGTGTTACAATACAAATACCTTCTCTGTGGCATGCCTTAATCTCTCTTAAACCCAACATGAAAAAGAAGTTCAAATGCAAAAATATTTTTCTGCTCTTTCTTTAAAAAAAAAAAAAAAAAGTTTAGGTGCTTTGAGAAATGGCTCAGTGGATAAGCGCACTAGGGCTTGTCTGCATGCATGTATGTGCACCAAGTGGTTCCCCTGGAAGCTAGAAGATCCCTTGGGATTAGAATAATACACAGTCGTGAGCAATGACATCAGAGCTGGGAATTATACCTGGGAAAGCAGACATGCTCCTAAAAGCCACTGCATTTCCCCTGCCTCTGGTTTTACTTGTTAAGACAGAGTCCAAGTGTGTATGCCTCAGGACCCATACATGGAATCCATTTTGTCCTAGAGCTCCCTGAATTCAGGAAGCTCAAATCACAATGGCTTCTATCTAAATAACAATAGACTTGGGCCCAGATGGGTTTACACAATACATGTACACACACACACACACACACACACACACACACACACACACCTACCTACCTTCCATTACTCAATATACTCAATGAATAATGGTTCCTATATGACAAAAGATCAGAGTGTTGGGTGGGGGTGTGACAAAAGCCTTTAATTCCAGCACCCAAGAGGCAGAGGCAGGCAGATCTCTATGAGTTCAAGGCCAGCCTGGTCTACAGAACTTGTTCCAGGACAGCCAAGGCTACACAGAGAAATCCTGTCTCAAAAAAAAAAAAAATTTTTTTTTAAAAATAAATGATCCAAAATGCCTTAATTTCCAATTCAGGAAAACAAAATGACTTAATAAGGCACAAGCATATAAACACCTCAAACATTTCTTCATTAAAAACAAAACATAACACTTTTCAAGGTACACAGTAACTAAACATTGGCTCTTTGACGTTTAAATTTTAATAAAGACATGGGGCTTCTTAAGTTGTTTTTCCTAGATTCCAAACTGCAGTGTTAGGAATGTAGGGTGACATCCAAACATAGTTACAACAGTTTAACTCTGTGAAGTGATAGCCCTGCCAAGAAATGCAATTCTCAGAAAAGCTCAGACAATTCCAAATTAAGGGAAATACTGAAATATCTAACTTTTAATATTCAAACTGTCAAAATCATAAAGCCAAGGTAAGAAACTGAAATCTTTTAGAATGAAAATAAAGCGGCTGCACTGTAGATGTTCATTATTAGTAGGAAACAAACACTCAATGGGGTTGAGTATGTTGGAATCAATTTTGAACCAGAAATTGTTCAAAAGAATAAACAAAGAAAATTTTTTCATGACCCATACCTCATGTTTCTCACATTCCAAATTGCAGTTCACTACTCCAAGTCTGAGCCAATTTTACATGTAGATTATTTTGATCAATGTTCCAAACTTAGAATACGCTAGCTTTCTGCAAAAAGTCAACATTTGGACTCTTATTTAAGCACATGTACAAACACTGGGGTGTTACAGTCTAAATTCTGTATGTACTGAGGGTAGAAATACATTCTATCCACATTCAAATACTTACTCAATGTCATGTCCCATGAACTGTGCTACATGAAGACATATCTTGGGGACTTAATTATCACCAAGTGCAATGATTAAAGTAGGTATAAGACACAAAGAAAAAGTAATTAAATGGGAGATTATGGTGTCAGACAATGGTACCCTCTCAATAAAGCGTAGAACGAAAGTACTACAAAATGTGTTTGTGGAAAAGGACAGTCTACCTGGATTCACACTACTTCTGTGAATTCATTTAGTTCTATTTCTTTGTGTAATTTTTTTTGGAGACAGGGTCTCACTAGCCTTCACTGACTTGTAGCTCACTATGTGGACCAGGCTACCCTCAAACTCTGAGATTCACCTGCCTCCCTACCTGCTAGATGGTGGCATTAAAGATGTGTGTTTCCCACACCAAGCATCATGTTTTCTTTATTTCATTTTAACTTTTGGGTGGGCATGTGGCACAGTTGGTAAGAGTACTTGCCTAGCATGATCTGGATTAAGTCCCCAGCACTGAAAATTCATTTTTGTGTATGTGATCATTTTAATTGAGTTTATTATCATTTTTTTCTTCTCTGCATTCTTGTCAGTCATTGTAAATCGGGCTAAATACAGAGACTGCCAGATACAGGAATACTCATGTTATTAACACTCCTGTTACCAGGTAGGGGTGGGGCACACCTTTAATCCCAGCATTCAGGAGGCAGAGACAGGTGGACCTCTGTGAGTTTGAGGCCAGCCTGGTCTACAGAGTGAGTTCTAGGACAGCCAAAGTTACCCTGTCTCAAATTAAATAAATAAGCCCTATTATGTTATTAGTAACATAGTTTAAACCATTTCAGAATTCTCCTTTTCCATATAGTCAGTGTCCACTCAAATTTAAAATGCTGAAAACAGTATGCTATAAATACTGCCATTGTTCACAGACTGACTTTATATTTGATATAAGAATTCATTGCAACCAGGCATTGATGGCACATGCCTTTAGACCCAGCACTCGGGAGGCAGTTTGGTCTACAGAGCCAGTTCCAGGACAAGTTCCAAAGCAATAAAGAGAAAACCTGTCTCAAAAAACAAAAAATAAAAAATTCATTGGTTACCAGCACTTGGAAGGCAAAAGCAGGCATATCTCTGGGTTCAGTGACAACCTGGTCTAGAGAGTCAGCTCTAGGACAACTAGGGCTACACAGAGAAACCCTGTCTTGGGGTTTAGGAGTAACAAGCTGTTCATCAGGGAAAAACCACTAAAATCCCAGTCCTCAATTCTTAGTCCTAACAACTATCCAATGGCAACTCATGATGTTTTTGAGAAAGCTAAGTTAAAAAAAAAAAAAGCAAAATCCCGAGATTGTTGAAGGGCTGAAAGCCACGTTGCACAGGTACACTACCAGGCCCACAAATTGGGTTCTTTTCATTGTGTTAATAAAGTTACAATAATAAATTCTTGAAGTTCTAGTTATTTAACAAATACAAATCCTCAAACAGCTATAAAATTGGCAGAGAGAATAAAAGGATTAACAGGGGAAAACTGTTACCACACAAAACAATATTTTAAAACTTGCTTCCTGAGACTATGCTTATTCAAAAAAAATTCTCATGTTTTTAGTAATCACCAGTCCCATTTTCCACATAGAAAATTACTTCATCAGTTTATTGCTCATGTGTTAAAGCAGTACCTGTTCACTCTCTTGAAATGCAACTTTAATATGAGGGTTTTATTCTTTTGAGGGGTGAAGAGTGGGATTCATCCTTAATCAGGGCCTTGCGTTTGGCCAGGCAGACACAGCCTCAACCTCCAGAGTAACTGGGAACTTATAATTCCCTGATAATAGGTTGTTTTTTTTCTGGAGAGGGGGATGCTGGGAGACCCCCACTAGAAGTAATTTTTTAAAGTTTCCTGGAGAAGAGTTGTGGCCCTCCTTGAGTCAGCTGAGGAGCCTCCCCTCCAATATGTAGATTGCTAAACTATTAGAAGGTAATTATCAAAACAATTATTGTGTTATTCATCCATACTTTCTCTTCCCTCTCCTCTTTGAGGAGGGTTCCTCTTTATAGCCCTGGCTGTCTTGGAACTGCTTTTGAAGACCATGGTGACTATCTACCTCTGCCTCTTCATGTTGGGATGAAAGGCATGTGCTACTACCACTGCACTCATCTGTATGCCTAAACAGTACTTAGCTATACAGATATTACAAGGGTTGATGCCCATTGTAAATGGACCTCTTCCCTCATAATCAGCCTTGGACCACAACTGGTTTCTTTGTTAATCCTTGAAAAAGCATCAGCTTTGCCTTTTAGTAGGATTTAATATAAAGGTTCACGAGATTAGAGCTCACCAGTTAGGAGCACTTGCTGTTCTTCCAGAGAACCCTGAGTTTATTTCCCAACACCTACATGATGATTCACAACTGTCTGTGACAACAGTTCCAAAGTATTGGATACCTATTCTGGCTTTACTAGAAGGTGTATTGGTGCACTTAATGGAAGTACGCGCAAAATATATAAAATAAACACATCTTTCTAAAAAAAAGTTTAATCATATAAAAATGCCCTCCCTAGGTGGGAGTTATCAGAGATTTGATGAGGCTGGTTAAGGAAAGCCATTTCCTTCTACTCAAAGGAACAAAATCTGAGTTCCTTCTGTCCCTAGAGACACTACATTCTAAACCACCCAAATCATTACATACTGGGGCCGAACAGGTGGCTCAGTGATTAATAGTATTTGTTGCTCTTACAGAAGATCCCAGGCAGCATTTCCAGCACCCACAATAGTGGAGTACAGATATCCACAACTCTACTTCCAAGGGATCCAAAGCCCTCTTCTTCCCTCCCTGGGCCTCAGGCACGCATATACTTGCAAAACACTCAATACACATAAAATAACAAAAAATGAAACAGCTGGTGTGTGTGTATCTTTAATTCCAATACTTGGCAGAGACATGTGGATCTCTGTGAATTTGAGGCCAGTTTGGTCTACACAGCAAGTTCTCACTCAGCCAGTAGAACTACATGGTGAGATACTGTCTCAACAAAAAAGTGATTAAAATTTTAAAAAGAAAAAAAATCATATACTATTTATTGGGGCCTCCCCTAAAGAGTTAACCCAACTGGGCTTGTCTATCACCTGGCCAGAAAACCACCTCACAGAAAAGCTGAATCATCTGAAGATATGCAAAAGAAATAATTAACCTTAAAGTAAAGCCCATAAGTCCTTCCCTCCACACAACTCCTTTCAGACCTCCACAGCTAAGCCTGTTTTTTTCGGGGTTCGAATTAAAAAGATAACTTCCCCTTCCCCCCATTTCTTCTTTGAATATTAACTAAAGTCCTTAACAAACTCGACCTGACCATGAATTCTCCCTTTTCCTGAAGACCCTCCTCCATTTCTACAAGTGCTGGTAAGCGTCCACTTCTAACTGTAATTCTGAAGGCATGAGTTATTTCTCTTCATCTCCCTCCTCCCTGGCAGCTACTAGATTTACAGCTTGCCTGCACTGTTTCCTCCCTCCCCAAATTCTAATAGTACCCACGCTTCCTTCTAATTCTGCCCCCCCAAAAAAAACTTTTATCAACGAGCCTAAAACAACGAAAGGGAAAACCAATTCCCGAGTGCTGTTTCCCTGCAGCTGACACAACATCTATTCACGGAATTCCTCGTACGCAGGCGAAATACTCTCCAATTAGTACAGCAAGCACGTTGGTCTTTGAAAAATCATTTTGCTACAAGTGTCTAAAGGGGCAGCGCTACAACGAACGCAGATATAAATGATTCCCAAAGCAATTCCATGCTATTAAAATCTCTGCAAAATACAATACAGATAATTGAAGTTATTAGAGACTAAGTTACCACTATTAAGATAGTATTTAAAACGATACATGGGTCAAGGCGACTTCAGCAAGACGCCAGTTTAAAGAAAAAAACAACCCGTCTACAAAAAGCTTTGTCTTGTTTCCCGCATTATTTCCAGTGCTCAAATCCCCACAATCCTCCCCATTCGTTTCTCCCAAAACACACCCCCTGGAGACTACATTGTGGGAAACCCGGGTCTATCCTCTGCTTTTCCACCCCTAAATTACCCAAAGCTCCCGATCCCCCGATAACCTCTCAAAGTCACTAGGGAACGAACCACGAAGGGGGCCTAAATCCGCTAGCTCGGGCCCAGCTCCCCCTTCTTCCCGTCCTCAACGGTCCGCGGGGCCCAGGGCTCACCTCTCCACCCACTCCCTCAGGAAACGCATTTCTTCGGCGTGCAGGACGCTCGGATCCTGCTTACACATCTTCACGAAGGCCCGAAGCTCGCTCACTTTGCGGGGATCCATGGTCGAGAGGCGGGAGGCTGGAAGCGGTGGGAGGCGGTGGAGGCCCAAGGCCTGGCCCGGGCGCGGCTAAACGTGACCGAGAAGGGGGCGGCTGCCGCGAGGCAGAACAGACTAGAACCTCCTCAGCCGCTGGCTCCTCCCCTACAACGGCCTCGTGACCCCGGTCCTTGGCTCGCTCATTCCTACTCCCTCTGCCTCTGGACTTGGTGCACCGCCTAGAACCTTCTAGAAGTGTAGCTGTCCGTGATAGTGCCTGCTTCTAGACCCGCACATTCTTATTCGTATTTTTTTCCTCTGACCTAGTTCCTGGGATAGATGAAGGACCTTGTGTGTGTGCGTTCAAGCGGGAGGCAGGGAGGCATTCGAAATAGAATAATCTGCGAAGGTGGAAATTAAGCAGAATGAGATGCCCTCTGGGGGGCTGGGTGGGGAGCCTATAGGACCGGCGCGCCAAAACCCAGCCGGGTGACGTCATCGCTCTGCGCCGCTGCGGGAGGAAAGCCCCCGAGCGGCGCCTGCAGGAAGGGGCAGGGCGGTTAGCCGGTTTCCTGGCGACGCGGCTGTGTTGGCGGCTTCTTTCCCTGCAATTTGTGCTTTTTCTTCTTGACGTGTGTGTGTTGGCCATGCCTTCCCTGCTCTCAACCCCCAAGCTGGTTCCCGTTATACCAAGACTCCGCTGCCTCTCAGGTTAGAGTCCTTCCCGCCGGTATCCCCACCAGGACTTTCCTTGGGAAAGCCTAAATAAAACTGCCCAAAGAGCTAGAAGTTGATTCTTGGTTCTGAACCGGTTGGCTCCTGGGCCCCCACGGATTTTTCTTTTAACCTGCTGTTCTGGGAAAGTGGGCTTTAGGTTCTGACATTATGGGAAGCTGAAATGGTTGAACCCCGAAGGACTTCTTTCAAAGATACTCGAATCCAGAATTTTACCTTTTGTAAAAATTCATCACACTTGGCTAAAGTGTTTCATATCAAATGACGTTTGTTTCTGTTAAGGCAGCATAAAATCGGGTTTTCAAAGGTTTCATAGGAGAGCTAGCTCAAAAGATAAAAGAAACGTTGAGAAACAAATGTTTTATGCAGTTCTGTTTACAAAGTACTGGAAGTAAGGGGAACGTGCCTAAAAGTTATATGAACAGTCAAGCTAATATAGCGCAGAAAACGTCAACCCTCCTTGTACAGTGTAGTGAGCAATTAATCTGATTAACATAAAATTTTGCACTGAAAAATGAGTCGTCCATCTTGCAGGGGTATCTGATACTGGATTGTATTTCAGATGAGGTGCTCAAAATGCTAACCAAAAAATAGGGTATTTGACATCAAAAGTTATCTTGGCATTTGTGTGTAATACTTGGGTTCGCTGGATTGATTTTTTTTTTTTAAATATCAGATTTCTATTAAATTGCCCATGGAACAGAGCTTGTTCTGTAAGCTTAGTAGTTAAATTTTGCCTTTGATGGGAATGAATGAAAACAAATGTGACTCATCAGTTATAATCATGGAGACCTGTGACAAGACTAGAACCAGCTTTTTGCTTCTGATCTTTAACTTTCTTGAAGCTTCATGTAAATCCTGATTTGATCCAGCTTTAGGACTAGATACTGGACTACAGTACATAAAATCTTATAAATTTATTGTAGTTTGCTCCTAAGGAAAGTAAGTTCAGCATCGTATTATATTACCACTAAATTTTTTTTAACTTAATGAAGGAGTGACATCAAATCTTCAGATTACCAAGTAACTGAAACACAATTAAGTCTGATGTTTGTTACATGATTGTTTCTAGTCTTTTATACCACTTATAAATCTTAATTCTGCTAGCAGCTACTCATTTTGTGAGCCAAGAAGTGCAGTTTCCTCCAGCTGCTTTTGAGTCTGTAGTTATTGTGGCTGCATCTCTGCTTCCCCACTGTTGCTCACAGTGAGATAGACAAACAACAAATAACACTATGACTGAGTGATTATAATCTTGGCCCAGGGATTTCAGAACTTGGGAAAGATAGGAATGCATTTGCGTTGTAAGTATTGTGTTATCCATGGTTTAACTTTCTTGTGACTAGGACTTGGAATGTCTATGGTATTGGTTTCTCTCTCTTTTTTTTAAATAATTCTTTGAGACTTCCATACAATGTATTTTAATCATTCACTCCTTCTCCCAGAACCTACCTCCTCAGCTACATTTAGTTGTCCTTTAGAAAGGCTCTAGAGCAGTGGTTTTCAGCCTTCCTAAGATTCGACCCCCTTAATTCTGTTCCTCATGTGGTGACCCCAAACATACAATTATTTTCATTGCTATTTCATAACTGTAATTTTGCTATTATGGATCAGTATAAATATCTAATCTTACATGGGACCCCTGTGAAAGTCTTCAACCCCCAAAGGGGTCATGACCTACAAGTTGAGAACAAGTGTTGCAAATTAAAGATTATTGGCTTCCAAAAGAAGTGTTGTGCACACTTTTTGTCCCAGCACTAGGGAGGCAGGTGGATTTCTGAGTTTGAGGCCAGCCTGATCTACAAAGCTAGTTCCAGAACATCAGAGATACATAATTGAGACCCTTTCTCAAAGAGGGAGGGAGGAGGAGAGAGAGAAAATTTCTCACCTAAGGCCTGCATATCTGAAGTGACAGTAGGTATTGTTTTTATTTTGGGTCATTGATTATGGGTGATGGGGATTGAACCTGCAGCTTGACAAAAAATAAGCACTGACTCTCCCACTGAATACACGCCCCACCTACTCTGCAAATGTTGCTAATTTAAGGTCCACCTAGTTGATTTATTAGATTGAATATGCTGCTAGTCATCTGAGAAGCAAAATAAGCTACTAGTTGTATATTAAAAAGTTGTATTTTCAAATGTAAGTTATTTAAGATACATAGTAAAGCTGACATAAGTTATCTTCAAAACTTGAGCACCAAATCTGAACTCTAAAATGTTTCTCCCGTGATAAGCAGATAAAAAGGCAAATAACTGTGATATAGCATGTACTAATGAAATAAAGGCCCTTTGTTGTGGAGAAGAAAGATGTAATAAAGAGGTAGAAAGGAAATGCAGGCACACCTCTAAAAGAGATTTGAGACTTGAAGGTCTCACCACAGATTGTGAGAAATGTCTTGACAGTAAATGTTGTCGGAACCATAGAACACTAAGAACAGTGGTGGTACTTTGAAATATTTTCCTGGGTATTTTAAGGTATTTATATGAAAAGGATTATTTGGTCAAATGCATAAGCTGCAATCTGAACATTTCCAATTAGCCTTAAGTTCCGAAAAGGGAGATGATGTATGTAGCAATGATTGGCAAAATGTATTTGTTCATTGAGTCCTCTTTCCTGTGGTAAGGCATAGACTGATATTCCTGGACATAGTGGAAAAAGCTGGGCTTTGGCTCAGTGAAGACCATGTAGATTCTGAGAAACACTGAGAGAGCTGGGTATGGTTGGGAACACTTCCCAGTACTGGAAAGGCAGGAGCAAGTGGATCTGAGTTTAAGGCCCATCCTGGAGAATGGGGAGGGGAGATACCCCCCCCCCCAAGACAGGCCTTATCTCTGCAACAGTCCTGCCTGTCCTGGAACTCATTTTGTAGATCAAGCTGACCTCTAAGTCACAGAGATCTACTTGCCTCTGCCTCCCAAGTGCTGCGATCAAAAGCAGCCATTATCACTGCCTGGTTTTTTTTTTTGTTGTTGTTTTTTTTTTTTTTTTTTTGCTATTGGGAAAGATAATTATCTGAATTTTTAAAATAGAAGTGGATAAATGGTCAGATATGGTAACATAGTCCTGTAATTCCAGCATTTAGGAGAAAGAGGCAGGAGGATCAGAAGTTCATGTTCACCCTTGGCTTCACAGCAAGTTCAAGGCCAGCCTGAGTTACATGAAATCCAGCTAATAGAAGAAAAGAAAGATGAATTAGAGGACCTATCGATGCAGTCTTACTGTTTCTGAGATGTTGGGTTTTGGTTCTTGAAATGGATTTTCTTTTACTTTTTATTTATTTATTTTTTGTTTAATCCTGCATGGAGACATGTTAATCTTAATAAAGGACACATTTTATGTAAATATCATTTAAAATGCCGTAAGCTGTTATGGTTTTATTTTCTGAAAATAACTTTGGATGCTAATTGTCCACAGTTTCTCCTAAAAGATAAATTACCTTTCCTCCCCACTGACAATCAGTCAGTATAAAACAAAAGCTCACGTTTTCTATGGTAGTTATTTAAAAACAGTAGTTATGCCTGGCATAGGGGCACACACATTTAATCCCAGCACTTGAGAGGCAAAGGCAGGTGGATTTCTTGAGTTCAAGGCTGAGGCCATCCTAGTTAGAGATCAAGTTCTAGGACAGCCAGAACTAGAAACCCTGTCTTGAAAAGCAAAGCAAAAATCTCTCTCCTCTCTCCTCTCTCTCTCCTCTCTCTCTCTCTCTCTCTCTCTCTCTCTCTCTCTCTCTCTCTATGTGTGTGTGTGTGTGTGTGTATACATATACAGTAGTTAATATAGTTGTTTCTCACTTTCAATTTGGTATTTTAACAAAGGTCATAAGTTTTAGTGTTCGATGGATGATTTGTTTGCAACCTTTAATACAGTAATTTACAAGAATTTGGGACTAGCAGTTTGATAATGCATGGAATTTACTATTATTACATTTCTCAAATACAAAAGGAAAAAGGATATATATGGCCAATAAATGTTATGAAGGAAGAATTTAATGACAAATAGTGTAATCACAAGTCATGCAGCAAATTGTTTTCAGTGCTTAATAATTGAACATCTCTTGTGTAGCTCTCCTGTCTCACTTAGGAGTTCTATTCTTTTGTTTCCTGTGTTCCAGAAACTGTTGATCTTAACTCCTGTCATACCCTGTAAGCATATCTTGTTTGCTGTACCTTTTCAGTCTATCCTAATGTTATCACTCATATACACACCATTGCCACCACCTTGAACCAGACTATTATAATCTCTTAAATAGATTGTGGCAATATTTTAATTTCCCTTTTTCTACCCTTGCTTGCTTGAGTCTTTCGGCAATAACAAAGAAATCCCATCATCTTTGAATATGTGATTCCTTTCCTCAGAACCTCCTATGGCTTAGTTTCTCTCTCATGTAATGGTTAACATTGCATGTGGTGATCAAGCAGCTCCTGAAGAATCTGCTTCTTTTCAATGTTTTGGCTTCATCCATTTGCTGTCCTTAATCTGCAGCAATGATCTGAGTGTTCCTCAAACTCTTCTCATGCAGCTTATGAGGAATGCTGCCCCTTGCTGGTCTAAATGTTTGGAATTGTCTCACCAAATATCCACATGAGAAAATTATAATCCTAAACTCCAAAATTACTTTGCTCTATCGCTTTTATCAAGCAACTAAAGAAGCTAGCAGATCGTGCTTTACTTGTTTGCTTAGTGCTGTGTGTACCTCACACACCTAACCCTGCTCAACAAGTAGTAGGCACTCAAATAGTAATGTTCAGTGAATAGAATGTTGAAAAGCAGCATCATGAAGATGAAAGCATTACAGAAAGCTAAGGCATAACAGTGTTGAAGTAAAAGTTAATTTATTTTTTTTAAAAGGCAAGTTTAAATAGAGTATTTAGCTCATACCATTTGGTATATAATGTGTTTGTAACTCACCATTTTTCTACCAACATGATCTTTAAATGAAATGGCTCTAGTATTTTACAGTAATGCATTTG